TGCCCCATACTATGGTATGCTTATGTACATGATTGTACAGTCATGTACATTGTACATGGATATGAATGATTTGCTAGAGCGGTCGTGAATGGCATACAGTAGTACTGCATTTACTGAGTACAAGTACAATCAATGACAGGTACACGCACCGCAACATAGTTCCTCCACAACAACTGTACTGCTGTAAACGCTGGCCAGGTACATGGTTTGATCAGGCTGGTGTGACATTTGACACCTCTGAGTAGCCTGCATGCATGCAGTGCAAGGGTTAGCTGATCGGCAAACACAGGTAGATCTCCACCTAAACACACTCATTTGCTGCAGGGATCTACACGGCCGTCAAGAAGCGGCAACTTAGAAAGATGGCGTCGGTTCGAGATGGCATGGTAACCGCGCACGTGCCGTGGTCCGTGACTTGCTCGTGTATGCACGCAAATGCAAGTCACAAACTCACAAAGATCGTCTTTGCATTTGGAGAAAATATCTTCGATTCTCTTTGGAGGTTGGCGAGGTTTGCCTATTCTTTACTTGATTGCGATGCCGGTATGTCCTCTCAATAATTAGAACAAAGAGAGCTGATGATCGCTTCATTGCTGAGCAGAAGTAACAATCAACTCTCCTCATGTCCTCAGTGCCAAAGGCAGACGACTGCAATTCCACAACGCTCATTTCACGATGATGGAAACAATAATCGTGTACTAGTACACACTTCGACCATTATTTTGGTCATCCCTATTCTAGCTGCTAGTCCGTCCAGCAAGCAGATATTGACTACTACGATAAGGACAACTGCGTGAACGAGGCCTCGCCCAGCAAATACAATTCAAGTCATGACTCCAGTCAAGAATTAGGGTCTTTACTCGAGAACTTCACAAATACAGGCCAAGGCACCCACAAAACTGATAGATGGCACGAACGAAAGACAAATAGGCTAGACAAAGTGTCCCAAGTGATTGAAAACAGCAGATCTACCAAATAAGACAACTACATGTGCCCAAACAACGATTCCCATACAGTAGAGAGTAGTATCAGGCAGAATGAAAGCCTTGGAAGTGCACAAATACAGCCACGACCGCCACAAAAAATTGGACGACCGCCACAAAAAAATTCTCATTGCTCTACCTCCTTGATGGGTGAAAGTTACCAGTTATCCTATAGCGATGTCAGTTTATGCCTGTTGGAACCCCCCACAGCCCGCACGAAATACCTTTCAACTAATTCCAGGATGCAATTGCAGCTCCAGACAGGAGGAAGAAGAACACCGTGAAAAATAACAGCAACGATGCCCAAACTCTCGGGAAACGGCTGAAGCCTTCCTGAAGATGTTAACATTGAATAGCCATCGATTACCAGCGTGGTTTGGTGACTTTAGAACTGTTTTGAGACTTAGAACGAAGCGATATCTCAAATTTGAGGGAATTGTTACCTGTCAAATGCGTGGGCGAGCAGGCCAGCTGACTGGTTATGCATGAGCATGCATTGATTTTTCATGGTTCACGTGCAGAAAACTAAGTTGCCGCGATCCAAGTGCAGCTAACAGCCGTGTCTAGCACGGTAGTAGATTGTACAGTTCCAGAAAATGTGCGAACAGTCATTTTTCTATTCGAAAAGGGCGCTACCCCCCTACCCCCGTTTCGAAATGCGTTACGTTTAGAAACAAAATGCGAACTTATGAGATGCTCCCTTATATTTGACTCCTTAGAATTTCTTGGACTTAGAAATTTTCTCTCCAACTTAGAAAAATAAATTTTTGAAGAAAGCGGAAATACACAAGACGGGATTCGAACCCACAACCATGTGAATTTCAGTCACTCTTCCTTACCTCCCAGCCACTGTGCTACCGATGCTGAACTTAGTTTAAACAATGACCTTGATCCTGCAATGCCGTACAATGCGGTATAGCCTATAGTATAATATTAGAATTACAAGGATATGTCGTATATGAAGAGAAACTATTGCGTGGAGAACACGATAAATAGATTATAGACCTCATAGTTGGTCTATACAGGATATATAGACCTCGTAAAAGACCTCGGGGGACCTCGGTCTTTTATTCGGTCTATATATCCTGTATAGACCTCCTAACCGGTCTATAATCTATACGTATAAAAAAGAGTCGGTCACTTTTATAAGTATAGAATAAACACCGATGTCGTAGTGTTTATGGGAATATAAACACTGCGATAAAAACCGAGGCGTAGCCGAGGTTTTTATAGACAGTGTTTATATTCCCATAAACACAAGACAGAGGTGTTTATGCTATTTATACCTAGCTTCGTTTTTGGCCTGAAATACTGGTCCGAAATAGCTATTTTAGTATCCCAGTATACTATAGTATACTATTATGTGTAGGTAGCATTGCGTGTTCCAGACCTAAGACCTAACTTTCAACCAACATCTGCATCAACACCCTTGTGGCTGGGTGGTCAACATAGGTGCTTGGGAATCTTACGGTTGCTGGTTCGATTCCTGCTGAAATTTCTTTCTTCTCTTCAATTTTTTCTGTTTCAATTGGAGAGAAAATTTCTACTTCCTCCGCGTCATCGAAATTGTCGCAGTTTGACTAGTGACTTGTCACTTGTTACTGACAATTCCATAAGCTAAGCCATTCAAAACTTATTACACAGTATGATAGTCTGAAGACTAGAGTAACGTTCCAGGACAGTTGGACTGAAAGTTTTCATGCAGAGATGAAGTCCTCGTAGTCGCTGATGTCAATGGACGCAAAAATATCGTTCCGAAATATTTCAAGGAAGGTTGAAAGTTGGTCGCGCCTCATCTCAAACGCTTTGACTTTCTCAACAGGACAAGAGCTGCTATGCTTGTCGTCTGCTAGCTCTGGATGATTTCTACTTCACCACCAACGAAGCCTAGTAAGAATACACGATCGTTGCGAGTTCGGTTGATTACCGTCGGCGGAATCACCTCGATCTTGAAATGAAACTTTCTTGAAACTTTTTTTAGCCGTGGCATGCCCATTTATTTTAGCTGTTTGGTCACAGCTCATGCAGCTCGGGTAAGTGTACTATCGCGTCCAGCGCGCCCTGTTTTCCAGCATCACTGGTATACCATGGTACGGCACCTGCGCGTGCATCACTAGCACTACGTGTAGAGTCAACACAGCTCTTGCAGGTACAGTCATGTACTGAGTGTCTCAGCCAGAGCGACAATTTTTATCGCTGTTGCAGGCATTTAGTTTGCTGACCCCTCGATGTTTCTCCAAGCGCTGCCACTTGTTCCACGAAGTCATTCTCAGCCCAGCTAAGGTAAAACAGTGATGAGGCTTGAGTGAATGGCCATAAGCACGAGAAATGTGCAGGCTGCAACGCCTGACTGATCCCCGCGAGTCGAAATTACCATCGCAGCGACATCAGCGAAGAAATTGCGTCTAGTTCAAAAATTCCAGCTTCCAATAACAGAAAATAGAACTTTACCGTCACCCTATACTGATGACTATCGCCTATATCCCATTCCCTGCCTCTGGTACGAGTGCTGGTGAGTAAATACCCCGTTTTATATCAAAAGTCAAACTGCGACAATTTCGATGACGCGGAGGAAGTACGTCCCTTGAAAGTTGAAAAGTTACAACCTCTAAGTGGGTAATATAGCAAAGTATATACCCCAAGTTAAAGTAGTGAATATGGAGATATATTCACCAGTTATAGATCACAAGAATTAGTGGGGGTTAATATGAGCTGGGTATAATATATCCGTATAACCCTCGAATGGAAAGAGAAAGTAAATATTTTTCGCTCATGGTCCTATGCTATGCCTTTTTGCCTAGCTCATCATGCATTTTGTATTATTAATTTTACTAGAGCCACGTTAACCCGTCATGTGTGAGCCATGAATAAGGGGAGTGGTGGCGTTGTCTGGAATGCTCTGCCGACCTTGGCGGCATGTTACTCGAACAGATGGAGACTTTTTGCAATGCAATGATGTAGCCCATCAGTTCGTTGTGGTATGGTTGGGCATTGTAGCCATCATGGTCGACGTAGAACACTATAAAACCGCAAAAGTTTTATAAAACCCAATAAATTCTGTAATTTCTTTGGCCTAACTCATATTCAAACTGATTGAAACTCTTTTGCAAGACAATGATGTAGCCAATCAATTGAAAAAGACATTTCCATCAGTTCGACTAACATTCACGACGTTCGACGAGCTAGGCAAAAAGCATAGCGTAGGGCCCTGACTTTCCAAGCTCTCTCGCTCGGATTCCAACTATTTTTCAAAAAAAAAACATGTACTTTGTGTATGAATGATTCTTCAATTTGCAGCTACAGCCTCTCTGAAATCATCTCTGAAATCAACATCCTTCCCTGTAAAAAGTTGGGGATTCCCTAGTAAAAAATAAGAGAGCATGTCTGAGAAAACTAGAACATATGTGCAAGTCGATCTCTCAGATTTCGCTCAAATTTTGCAGGTAGGTTTGCTTTGGGGTGTAGATCGACATTCCAAAGCCCGCGCAAAATCTTTTGAAGGGAACCATGAAATTGGCATACCCCTCAATATTGGCCCAATATTGGCACGATTTATGGGTCTACAAACGAGCCACGGCACAGCGTACAAGAACAAGCTACGAACAAAACTCCATCAAGCCAACATTACCTCACCTTAGAAGAGTTCTTGGGGCAGCACTACTTAGCCACGCTAGCATCCCAGAAGACGAGGGCAATCATCCCTTGACGCCACAAATGATAGTCTTGAAAATAGCCAAATTACAAGCGCTGATAAAACAGCGAGCTACGTCCTCGATTAGCAAACACTATACACCGGCAGATAGTAGAACACCTCTTCTAGCACTGAGGACATGTCCCCCATCATCCTTTTGGGGTTTTCTTGAAATAAACAATTTTGAATTTTTCCACTCGACCATTCAGCAAAATTTGAGCGAAATCTGAGAGATCGACTTGCACATATGTTCTGGTTTTCTCAGACATGCTCTCTTAATAAGAATAAAATAAAATGCAATAAACATCCACGGTGGTGGAACTGACCATTGTCACCGACGACATGATGTCAAGAGTCCCAGTAGAGAAGAAGAATTGCAGCGACTGTAAAACCGGGAAGAAGAATCAAACAAACAAACCATTATGTTGTTTAATACGACCAGGACAATATAAGTGTGCCCAAAAGTTTCACTTTGGACAACTCCGTTCGCAATGTTATCCCTCTCCGTGATTGCAAAGGTTCCCAAGACTTTTGGATGTGCTGATCCACATACAGGACAACTACATGTAGCTTGCTTTTAGGCAACTTGCTTTCAAGACAACTCTCCTCTAACTAAAGCTTCGGAGAAGAAGAATGAGGAGACAAGGTGTAATCGCATACGCATACAGGAAAGTGTTTGCACAACCATTATCGGTACGCATTGATGTGAAAGCTTCACCCCAAAAAGGAAAATTGATGTGACAGCGAGTCCTACTTCAATACCGCATTCGGCACTACATGAAACAGTACTCACCCAACGAAAACTGTGCATGCGCCTCGTACATATCGACGAAAGGTCAAGAGCAGGGAGTCGTACAGACCCGTCATCATTATCAAAACCCAGGGTTTGTGCTATCGATCCCTGGTCAAGAGCGTGTGAACTGTTGCGTACATTTCCAACAGGGTCGAGCAGTATTGTCCTACTCCCTGGTATGGCATTCTCGCTACAAGTACATGTATGGATTATCCCATGAGTACGAGGACAGCACACCTATTCTAATATTCATTGACAAACACGAATCGAACTTACCGCGAAGATAGCAGATCCACTGTCACTCAAGTCCTCAAAGTCCAGCGTAGTCAAAACTCCCTCTTGCGATACAAGAAAGCAACTGAGCAGGGGACTGAAGGTGAAGCGCTTATATACCCGAGGTCGTGCGTCGCGCGTTGCGCGGGTTGCGACGGTCGCGGTTGGGCCGAAGCGCGATTCCATTTGCGTTCGGGAATGGCCTCGCAATTCTCGCAATGCGCGCGTTGCGCAGGTCGCCAGTAATGCGGAGCTCCATTTGTTATACGCATCCCATATTTGGATCCCGACCCCGGCATAATTCATACGCACTCCATTACCCCCTACCCTTGCATGCAGTAATTCATACGCACTCCACTACCCCCTACCCCCTACCCCTGCATGCTGTAGTTCATACGCACTCCATTACCCCCTACCCCTAGCCCTGCATGCAGTAATTCGTACACATTCCATTACCCCCTACCCCTGCATGCAGTAATTCGTACACATTCCATTACCCCCTACCCCTAGCCCTCCATGCAGTAATTCGTACACACTCCATTACCCCCTACCCCTAGCCTTGCATGCAGTAGTTCGTACGTACACACTTATAACCATATTTGACCCATTTTCCCCGCTGCCCCTGCATGTTATAATTAGTACCGTACACATTTGTAGCCCGTTTTCCCTCCTTCTGCCCCTGCACATAAAAACCACCGTACATTTGATCTAATTACATCCCTTTATAGTGTACATAGTCGGGCTATACACATAATAATGCGCGCCCAGCTAAAAGGGCGCGCTCATGCATTGTACCGTACATTCTATTCTAGTTCACTCTAAGATAACCAAACTTCGGTAATCTAGTGAGAAGTCGAATACATTCCCTAATGTTGAGGTCTAATAATTCTGTCCTCGTCCCGTGAGATATATGCTTTACAGACTCTAATAAACTGGTATCTCTGATTGTCTGGTGTGAACCAATAACGGAAACCCCCTTTATAGACAACACATTCATTAACCCATGAGTACGAGGGATACCGTCGAGGGGATACCGCAGGTTGCCGCGGAGCACGGGTTTAAATTGCGTTCCGCAAACACCTCAGCTCAATGAACTAATGCGTACGCCTCGCAGTGAAATGCTGCAAAGGATGCGCATTTCGCAGTAAATCGGAGGTCTGAATTTAGAAAAGCGATCCTGTCAGCTTTTCTATTATTGTGTTCACATGGCAGAAAAAACGACACCGCTATGCTACGTAAGTTTCTACGTAAGGTGCTCGGTACTTCACTTAGGCTACGTAAGTTTCTACGTAAGGTGCTCGGTATTAGATCTACTAACGCGTGGTAGCCGCGTGCTGTGCACGTGCACGGCAGACATTGTGTTGCATGCAGTGCAGTCCGTTTTCGGATGTGCATGCGCGAGGAACTTCCTTCTTTGGAACTGCTTCTTGCATGAGCTGTTTCGGATATTTCGTGTCCTGGCTTATTTCGCTTCGGCTCTGCTGAGACCTCTTTTCACGGAATATTACTCAATGACAGGTGAGTTGACCAGTTCCCTTTGATTCATTTGCTTGTGTTGACTCTTTCATTTACGAAAAGTGTGCTGATTTTAGGTGGAATACAATAAAATTAATAATGGAAAAGCTGACAGGATCTCTTTTCTAAATTTAGCTTTTCTGCTGTCGAGGCCTCCTTTTACGGAATACTCAATGACAGGTGATCTCTGAGTTGACCAGCTTCCTTCGATTCATTTGCTTATGCTCACCCTTTCATTTACGGAAAAGTGTGCTGATTTTATTCGGATTTAGATCCATTCGTTTCTCTTTGCCCTTGCCAACAGTGTGCGAAGAACGCGAGTTCACCTTCTTGACGGTAAGGCTTATGTTGCTGCTGAGGCTTTAAATAGAAGTGTTGTCGAAATACTCATGGTCATTTTGTACATTGGTACGTTACAAGTAAGGCACTGGTCATGATTGCTTCCGGCATTCCGTGCTCCGATCATAGGGTAGAATCTGAATTTTGCAGTGGCATAGCATCGTTGGCAGTTCCCAATCTGGAGGGAAAGGTTCAAAGACACATTGGCCGAGTACTAGTATGCAAAATAAATTCGCATATCAGGGAAAATCTCCATTATGGAGAGGTTCATGCATTCAGTGACTTGTTTGCTTCATACGAAACAAGCCAATGGGTGCAGTCTCGTCTCGTGAAAATCTCGTACGATTGGATTTGTTTACTCGAGTCTGGGCTGTTTGATTTGTGAGTAGCGCCGAGATTGCACTGCCCCAAATAAAGTTGCGTGCTGGTAGAGCAAGAATTACGATCTGCAATCTGTTTGTAGTACCTGCAAGAATGTGCTATACATGTATCGTATTTCCTCTGTTGTTGTTTCAGTTGCCGTCATGTTGCTAAAGAAAGGTTCAGTGACTCATTTGTTTCATAAAAGACGAGTCAATGGTTTGGTCTGGCTTAGAATCTTTCGCTGTAGAAGAAATCTATTCGTGTCTCTATTGGAGAAATAATTGTATTCACTCGTTATAAAATAGGGTAAACACAAACCCACAGAGCAAATGCCATCGGTCCCTTGATGTTCGTCCTAAAGAGGTTTGACTGGATATCATTCATACTCCCCCGAAGTCGTGTAACATTTTACTATTATGGAGTGCCTTGTTTATCTCTCAGTACCTAAAACCATATATCCTTGCCCCTTATATCCTCAGGAGTAGTGTAGTTGTTGGAACGAGGTGTCGGACTCAGCGATGTATTTGTTTACATTTTAATGCATGTTTATTGTTCCTACTTTGCTGTGTTGTTTTAGACAATCGTGGACACTTTGAAGTCACTGAACTGCTTCCAAAAGTTTTATCGACATCAACAGGATTACGATTTCACTCCAACATGATGCCGGATGACCTTATCACGACAACCCAGGACTACAATTATAAACACAGAATCAACAAAAACATCTGCGGCACACACCTGGTTACAATTCTCAAGTAAATGTGATTTAGGGTGTGGACATCTGAATTTTCTGAAAGACAAGAAAATTTTATGACAGTCATGAAATTCTGCAACATCCACAGAATGACTTGCGTTTAAAAAAAGTATCACCGCCACGACCCATATGATTCCCCTGCAGAAGAACATGAATACCTGTATGCAAGACTAGTTCCATTTTCTGCAAGAAAAGGCTTGCACATCAATGCGTATACAGTAATACGGTATTGAATTTGATATGATACACGTAGGGGCTCCCGTAAGAAGAACATAGGTCTGTGGGAAACACCCTAGTAAAATAAATACGAGAGAGCTTGGAAGCTCAGGGCCCTGCGCTATGCTTTGTTGCCTAGCTCATCGTGCATGTTGTTAGAACTGATGGAAATGCTTTTTCCTTTGATTAGCTAAATCATTGTTTTGCAAAAACGTTTCAATGAGATACTGAAGTACAAGTAACGTCTTCTGCATAGCTATGGGACCGGCGCTGACTCTGCCGATGACGGGCGTTCGGGAGTCGACGGGATGTCTGTCCTGACGTTTCCTAGGACCGGCGCTGACTCTGCCGATCACACGCGTTCTTCTTCTTCTTCTTATTATTATTATTATACTGACGGCAACTAACATCCATTCTGTTTGCATTTACTCGTCTCCCTACTTCGTTTTTCTTTCCAGAAAATCTCCCCATACAGCAGGGAGTCGTTTACATAATATGACTCCCTGCTATACATCTACATGACTGTATATACGTTATAATTATTATGCTATCGGCCTACATGCGATTTCCGGGCTGGTCGACAGGCGGCCCAGCCAGCCTGCTAGTGGGATCTCGGCCTCGCACACAAATCCACACAAAATTTAATGTTACTGCACTGAATGCATTCCCCCCATACACTTCGCATATATACTCATTCTCTTGATGGTACCGTACTCTTGATGATACGGGACAGGTATGGGATAGCGCCAGGCATGTCGATGGCACAAACAAACAAAAATATTGTGGCCAGCTGTCTTTGCTGGTACGGTACAGTACGGGATAGATACAAAATAGCGCCAGGCGTGACACAAACAAACAAACACACAAACAAACACCAAATTAAAGCTGTGTGGACCCTGGCTAGCGCCAGACGTTACTGAAGTAACGTCTTCTGCATAGCTACGGGAAAAATAATGATAATAACATGCAGAGGCGCTACATGTAGGCCATCATTAGGGCATTCCATTGGTTACACAATTATATCCTTTAGCCAAAAAAACAAAAGAAATTATAGCAATAAAAACTGCTTTATGGCAGTTTTCTAAAAAAAGTTATTGTGTTCTAGTCCATGGACCTCGTCTAAAAAGTAAGAAATTAACGAAATGTGATAGCCGAAAATTAAAATTTCACACAAAACCTCACAATAATCACACACAGGATGCGAGACGACCTTTTCCCCTCGTGGTCCTCTTTCATATGCAAGCATGTTGGCGCAGTACATGTACTTGTATAAGTACAAGTGTCGGAATAAACAAGTGTTGAAAGCCGTACTATTAGATCTTCAAGTGTCGTGATTATTGTGAGGTTTTGTGTGAAATTTTAATTTTCGGCTATCACATTTCGTTAATTTCTTACTTTTTAGACGAGGTCCATGGACTAGAACACAATAACTTTTTTTAGAAAACTGCCATAAAGCAGTTTTTATTGCTATAATTCAATTTGCGTTCGGGAACACCTCGGAATGAAATGCTGCGCAGGTAGCGCATTCCGCAGATAAATGCGTTCGGGAAGCGCCTCGCAATGAGCTAATGCGGATGTTCCGCACGCGGTTAATCCCGAGCCCTGTGCAAATTGCGTTCGGGAAATGCCTCCCAATGCACTCCAGCGCAGGTCCCGCAGATCGCCGTGAAGTCGGAGCTAGGGTTCAATTAAATTTTGCGTTCGGGAAACACCCCGCAAAGAACTAATGCGTGGGCTCCGCACGCGGTTCAGATCGAAGCAATGTGCGTTCGGGAAACGCCTCGCAATGAAATTCTGCGCAGGCTGCGCATTCCGCAGATAAATGCGTTCGGGAAGCGCCTCGCAATGAGCTAATGCGGATGTTCCGCACGCGGTTAATCCCGAGCTCGGTGCAAATAAATAATTAAAATTGCGTTCGCGAAATGACTCGCACTGCACTCCAGCGCAGGTCACGCAGATCGCCGTGAAGTCGGAACTAGGGTTCAATTTGCGTTCGGGA